TACGGTTTCTTTTTCTTAGTCTTTTACAATAGTGGTCCTATGCAGTTTTTCTCCTTTTGTGACTAATTTTACTCAACATAATGTCCTCAAGGTTCTCAAGGTTGATTCATGTTATGTGGTGGCTTACAGCTTCCTTGTTGTTCTTCAAGGTAGCATAATACTCCATTGTGTGTATGTACCACAATTTGTTTATCCATTCTTCTGTTGATGGGCACTTAAGCTGTCTCCATCTTTTTGCTATTATAAATAGTGCTGCTATGAACATTGGTGTGCATATATGTACTCATGTTATGACTCTTATTTCTTGGGGGTAAATACCAAGTAGAGGAATTGCTGGATCATAAGGTATTTCCATTTCCAACCTTCTGAGGAAGCACCATATGGTTGGACCATTTTGCAATCCCACCAGCAATGCAGGAGGATCCCAGTCTCTCTGCGTCCTCATCAGCATTTATTGTCTAATTTTTTTGATCTTTGCTGTTACTGCTGGTGTGAGATGATATCTCATTGTTGTTTTAATTTGTATCTCTCTAATGGCTAGTGATCATGAACATTTCTTCATATGTTTCTTGGCTGCCTGAATCTCCTTCTGGGTGAAGTGTCTGTTCATGTCCTGTGCACATTTTTTAATTGGATTATTTGTCTTTTTCTTGTAGAGGTGTTTTTGTTGTTGTTGTTGTTGTCAAATGCCATTGAGTCGATTCCGACCCATAGCAACCCTTCTTTCCAAGAAGCATCTGGTGAGTTTGAACCACTGACCTTGCAGTTCAAATGGCCTTGTAGTCTGGCGCATTAACCCACAGGGCCACAACAGAGGTGTTATAGTTTCCTATTTTAGAAATTAGTCCCTCATCTGATGTGTCATTGGAAAAGATTTTTTCCCGTCCTGTGGGTTCCCTTTTTACTCTTTTGGTCTTTTGATGCACATAAGTTTTTAATTTTTAGTATGTCCCAATCATCTGTTTTGTCTACTTTAGTTTGTGTAGTTTTCAAAATGTTTTGAAGTCTGTGTATGCCCTGAATTAGAGCCCTCACATTTGTGCCTATTTTTTCATTGTTGGTCTTCATAATTATGGGATTTACATTTAGATCTTTAATCCATGCTGAACTGGTTTTTGTATAAGGTTTGAGGTAAATGCCTTGTTTCAACCTTTTGCATATCGCTTCCCAGTTCTGCCAGCACCATCTATTGAAGAGACTATCCCCTCCCCATGTGATACATTTAGGCACTTTGTCGAAAATCAGTTGGCTGTATGTGAATGGGTTAATTTCTGGATTCTCAATTCTGTTCCATTGATTAATCTTTCATTGTACCTGTACCAAGTTGTTTTGACCACAGTAGCTGTGTAATAAATTTTGAAATCAGGGACTGAGAGGTCTCCAACCTTGTTCTTCTTCTTAAGCAGTGCTTTGCTTATCCTGGGTTTCTTTCCTTTCCATATAAAGTTTGTAATAGATTTTTCCATCTCTTTAAAGAATGTCATTGGAATCTGGATTGAGATTGCATTATA